CCCGCCTCGGCCTCCCAGAGTGCTAGGATTATAGGCGCGAGCCACCGCGCCCAGCCCAGAATTCTTTCTTTCCCATTAGGACATGGGATCCTGAAGTGTTCCAAGCCTTGTTTCTTTGTTAAGCAGGAAGCTGTTGTTTTTACCTTGGTCCATTTAAAAGCAGTTCATTTTCCCTAACTCATGTTTCAGAAAAAACAGCACCATCTACTTAGAAATCCACTTCACAGTCTTGCCTCTTCTTTAGGAGAGAATTCATACAAAGTCAGACAGGGAAAGTATTTCTTTTCTTTCTTTCTTTGAAACAGTCTTGCTTTTGTCACCCCAGATAGAGTACAGTAGTGTCATCGTAGCTCACTGCAACCTCAAACTCCTGGGCTCAAGTGATTCTTCTGCCTCAGCCTCCCGAGTAGCTGGGACTACAGGCATGAGCTGCCACGTACAGCTAAATTTTTTTTTTTGTAGTGATGGGGTCTTGTTCTTGCTCAGGCTGGTCTCGAACTCCTGGCCTCAAGCAGTCCTCCTGCCTTGGCCTCCTGAGTAGCTGGGTTTACAGGCCAGAGCCATCACACCAGCTAAAGAAACATTTCTAACACTGCATATAAGTTGGAGGTCAGTAATTCCCCAACCCAATGTACGTCAAAATCATCTGTGCAGTTTTTAAAAAGCATACAATTTTTTTAAGCCTACAAATTTTATTAGGTTTGTTGTAGTTCTTAGCAATTGGGAATTAGTTATTTTAAGTGACTCAGTCTCCCGGGCGCATGTGATCAGAATTGGGGCCCCTCCAAAGCCCCTCCTTGTTTTTGCTTTGCTGAGCCTCAAACCTGGCTTGCCCTCTGGTTTCTGCTCTCCAAGTTTTGGTGTCTGTGGCTTGCTCTTACTGTCTTTATTTTTTAACTGACGTCTCACTTTTTTTTTTTTTTCCTCTCAGAGGAAACATTTAATAGGGAGTTATGAACAGAAGCCATGTATTGTCTTGGGTGGCCCTGAGACGAGACGGGAGACGGTGGGTCCTCTGCCTGCCTCACGGTTTTTGCCACTGTTTTTCACTTGTTCATTCTTACCAAACAGGAATGGGTTAAGCTAGAACTCCTTTGGGGAGCCCTGGTGGTGCTGCTCTCGCCTCCCCGGCTGTGCTCACCACTTCCCTGGCCTCCCCCAGCTGCCCTCGTGCCATTGCTCGTCCACAGTCAGGGTGACCTTCGTGGGGGTCACAGCTTACATTGTGTTAATCCTTCAAAAAGTCCTGACATCAGTAGAAAAGAAAATACTAAGAAATTTTAAAATGGCTTGTTTAGGAAAAATTATTTTTAAAAGGTCTCCTATTAGCTATGTGTTATATTGTTCATA